TATTTACTATATTCCCTGTGCTATACTTTGTATCACTGTATATATCCTTATTTATTTTGTTGCAGTTAAATTTGTACCTCTTAATCGCCTTCACATATTTTGCCCATTCCCTCACGCCCTCCCCTCTGGCAACCACCAGTTTGTTCTCTGTATTTATGAGTCTCTGTTTTGTTTGTTCATTTGTTTTGTTTTTAAGATTCCACATATAAGTGAAATCATACAGTATTTGTCTTTTTCTGTCTGACTTATTTCAATTAGCATAATACCCTCTAGGTCCATCCATGTTGTTGCAGATGGCAAGATTTCACACTTTTTATGGCTGAGTAATATTCCATACTACAACTTCATTATCCATTCATCTGTCGATGGATACGTAAGTTGATTCCATATCTTGGCTATTGCATATAGTGCTGCAAGGAACATAGGGGTGTAGGTATCTTTTCAAATTAGTGTTTTCATTTTCTTTGGGTAAATACCCAGTAGTGGAATTGCTGGATTGTATGGTGTTTCTTTTTTTAATTTTTTGAGGAATCTCCAATGTTTTCCATAGTGATTACACCAATTTACATTCCCACCGTTAGTGCATGAGGGTTTGATACTAGCCATTCTGACAGGTGTGAGGTGATATCTCATTGTGGTTTTGATTTGCATTTCCCTGATGACTAGTGATATTGAGCATCTTTCCATGTTGGCCATCTGTATGTCTTCCTTGGGAAAATGTCTATTCAGGTCCTCTGTCATTTTTTAAAAAAGATTTTATTTGGGATGTCTGGGTGGTTCAGTTGGTTAAGCATCTGCCTTCTGCTCAGGTCATGATCTCAGGATCCTGGGATCGAGTCCTGCATCAGGCTCCTTGCTCAGCAGGGAGCCTGCTTCTCTCTCTGCCTGCCACTTCCCCCCCTTGTGTTCTCTCTCTCTCTGACAAATAAATAAAATCTTAAAAAAAAAAATCTTTTAAAAGATTTTCTTTATTTGAGAGAGAGTGAGTGGGGGGGAGGGGCAGAGAGAGGGAGATAATCTGAAGCAGATTCTGCGCTGGGCCTGACGTGGGGCTTGATCCCACAACCGTGAGACCATGAGGTCATGACTTGAGCCAAAACCAAGAGTTGGATGCTTAACCAACTGAGCCACCCAGGCACCCCTGTCTTCTGCCCATTTTCTAATCACATTGTGGTTTTTTGGTGTTGCCTTACATGAGTTCTTTATATATTTTGGATATTTACCCCTTATTTAAAATATACTTTACAAATATCTTCTCCCATTCAGTAGGTTGCTTTTTCATTTTGTTGAAGGTTTCCTTTACTTTGCAAAATCTTTTTAATTTGGTGTAGTCCCAATTGTTTATTTTTGGTTTTCTTATGCTAGCCTGAGGAGGCAGATCCAAAAAAATATTGCTAAAACCAATGTCCAGGGATGCCTGGGTGGCTCAGTTGGTTAAGCATCTGCCTTTGGCTCAGGTCATGATCCCAGGGCCCTGGGATCGGAGTCTTGCATCGGGTTCCTTGCTTAGCGGGGAGCCTCCTTTTCCCTTTGCCTGCCACTCCCCCTGCTTGTGCTCTCTCTTTCTCTCTCTCTGACAAATAAAATCTTAAAAAATAATAATAATAAAACCAATGTCCAGGAAATAACTGCCTATGTTTTCTTTTAGGATTGTTATGGTTTCAGGTCTTGTATTTAGGTCTTTAATTGACTTTTGAGTTTGTTTTTCTATATGGTGTAAGAAAGTGGTCCAGTATCATTCTTTTGCATTTTTTTTTTGCATATATACTTTCTTTTGCATATGTTTTCCTAACACCATTTACTGAGGAGACTGTCTTTTCCCCCATATTATGTTCTTGCCTCTTTTTAAGTGACTATATAAACATGGGTTTATTTCTGGGCTTTCTATTCTGTTCTATTGATTTATGTGTCTGTTTTTGTTCCATTACCATACTATTTTGACTACTATAGCCTTGTAGTACAGTTTGAAGTCTGGGAGTGTGATACCTTCATCTTTGTTCTTCTTTCTCAAGATTGATTTGGCTATTCAGGGTGTTTTTTGGTTCCATACAAATTTTAGGACTATTTGTTTTAGTTCTGTGAAAAATACTATTGGTATTTTGACAGGGATTACATTGGATCTAATTGCTTTGGGTACTAAGGGCATTTTAACAAAATTAATTAGTGCATGCTAATCCATAGCATGGTATATCTTTCCATTTATTTGTATTGTCTTCAATTTCTTTCATCAGTGTTTTATAATTTTCAGAGCACAGGTCTTTCACCTCCTTGGTGAAATTTATTCCCAGGTATTTTATTGTTTTTGGTACAGTTGTAAGTGTGATGGTTTTCTTACTTTCCCTTTCCACTACTTCATTCTAAGTATATAGCAATGCAACAAATTTCTATATATTAATTTTATATTTTGCAGCTTTATTGAGTTCAGTTATTAGTCCTAGTAGTTTTTTTGGTGGAGACTTTAGGTTTTTCTTTATATGATGTCATGTCATCTGCAAATAGTGACAGTTTTACTTCCTCCTTACCAATTTGAATGCCTTTTATTTCTTTTTCTTGTCTGAGACAAGCATCCAACTTGTGGCTGGGACTTCCAGTACTATATTGAATAAAAGTGGCAAGAGTAGGCATCTTTGTCTTGTTCCCAATCTAAGAGAAAAAGCTCAATTTTTCAGTATTGAGTATGATGTTAGTTCTAGGTTTGTCATATATGGCTTTTATTATCTCCACTTTGTTGAGAGTTTTTTAGCATGAATGGATATTGTATTTTGTCAAATACTCTGGCATTTGTTGAGATGATAATATGGTTCTTATCCTTTCTCTTGTTAATGTGATGTATCATGCTGATTGATTTGCAAACATTGAACATCCTTGCATCCCTGGAATAAATCCTACTTGATTGTGGTAAATGATTCTGTTTAATGTGTTGTTGAATTCAGTTTGCTGATATTTTGTTGAGGGTTTTTGCATCCACAGTCTTTGTTTTAAAGTCTATTTTGTCTGTTATAAGTATTGCTACCCTGGCGGTTTTTTTTTTTCTTCCATTTGCATGGTATACGTTTTTCCAGCCTTTCACTTTCAGTCTGTATGTGTCTTTTGTGGGTCTGAAATGAGTCTCTTGTGGGTACTATAGAGGTGGGTCTTTTCTTTTTTTAATCCAGTCACCCTATGTCTTTTTATTGGAGAATTAAGTCCATTTACATTTAAAGTAATTATTGATAGGTATGTATTTATTGGCATTTTGTTACTGTGTATCAACTATACTCAAATAAAAAAATTAAAAATAAAGTGCAGTCTGTATTCTAATAGTCTGTTTTGGTGGAAGGAAGTGTTACATAACTGAATTCCAGTTGCCTGAAGTAAGTGATCTAAGCTGGGCAAAAGATAAGTTGCTGGTAGTAGCTCCTGCCTGATTACAAATACACACCTAAAGAGTAATTAAGACTCTTTTAGTCATTTCTTTTGAAGTGAAAAGCAAGAGCATGCTGTCAATATATTTTAGAAGAGTTCCTTAATGTTAACATTCAAGGCTATCAAGTGAATCTGAATGGTACTCAAGTAGTATAAATAGGAAAAGACTAATACATTATGCTGATTGCTTTGCAAGCATTACCAACTAATTCCTTTTAAGACCTTGTTAATGGATAACCTAGGGTCTCTTTTAAGAAAGAACAGTCAATATCCCAGCAGTGTTGCTTATAAGACTATAAAAATCACAGTCTTGTACCTCTTGAGCATTAAACCAGTAATGATCCCTAAGAGAATTTTTTTTTTTTTTTGAGAAAGAGAGAGGAAGAGAGAATGCACGAACATATTTTTGTGTGTGTGCAGGCATGTCCGAGAGCACGAATAGAGAGGGGAGGGGCAGAGGGAGAGAGAGACTCTCAAGCAAGCTCCACATTCAGCAAGGAGCCCAATGTGGGGCTCAATCTCATCACCCTGAGATTATGACCTGAGCCAAAATCAAGAGTTGGATGCTTAACCGACTGAACGACCCAGGCATCCCCCTCACCAAGAGAATTAATAGATGGAAAACTAATGTTTACTTTCAGTTAAACCCTGAAATTAGGTTAAAGCAAAACAAAATAACAACAAAAACAAAATGCTTGGTTTTAGCTAGTTGAATATAAAAACAAGGATGAGAAAATTATTTCTCCTTTACTACATGGGTTCCCAAAGTTCAAAGGAGATGTGAATTTATTAATAGTAGATACTAATTCAATCAACTTGTTCTTTTGTTTTAATAATTTAATTTATAGATTAGTCATCATAAAGTTTATCCCAGGTTGGATTCCCTCTTTTACCTAGCGAGCATTTTAGCCACCTCTCCTCACAGTTAGTTCAGAAAGCCCAAGGAATACAAAATTCGAGCATGAGCTTCAAGAAAATAGGCTTAGAAAGTAGGTAAAAGCTGTAAGAAAGTCACATTATAAATTTTTTTTTTAAGAATTCTTTTTTTTTTTAAGATTTTATTTATTTGAGAGAGAGAGAATGAGAGAGAGAGAACACATGAGAGGGGATAGGGTCAGAGGACGAAGCAGAGTCCCTGCCGAGCAGGGAGCCTGATGCGGGACTCGATCCCGGGACTCCAGGATCATGACCTGAGCCGAAGGCAGTCGCTTAACCAACTGAGCCACCCAGGCGCCCCCACATTATAAATTTTTAAGAAGTAAATTATTTGGTGGTGTCTGAACCATCATTCTTTTTTGGCCTAAGGAAGGAAGTATTAATATTTTAAAAATTATTTCAATTAGAATTTTAAAAAGAGGCAAATACTCTTTATCCGAGTATACTTTGGAACCAGAAACAAGATGATAATTAAAAAATCAAATAAATGGCTTTAAATAAAATCTAAATTAAAAGGAAATTGTTTTGATTAATTTAACAAAAGAACCGCTTTCATTTTAATTATAAACTCTTTATTATTTGGCATTTATATACATAAGGTATATATTTAATAACTAAAAATTCTATACAAACTATAGGAAAGTATTCCAAAGGTGAAATTATGATTATAACATAAAAAATAATCAAAATACATTAAAGAAGCATGTGATTCAATGCCAAATTTATAATCACATATTTAATATGTCACAATCCTTTTGTTCCAAAAAATATTCACATGAGAACTGTAAAGTGGGCAATTATTTACCAAAAGAATAAATGATACTCATTATGTAGAACATGGAGAGGGACACAACGCAAAATAAAGATTCTTCAGAATTTCATTATGGAATTGCTAGTAAGACAACAGAACCTGAGGCTACAAGGACCTGTCCAAGTAGAATATTTATGTTAAATATGCCTTTATTGCTTGCCTGGTAGAGGTGATCTGTCAGCCACTTTTGGTAGAAGGATGGCCCACAATAGACACCAGGAAAATTTTTTCGACCACAGCCATATCCGTAACTGGTAATTCCCATTACAAAAAATCGTTTATGTTCTGGTAAGTAGCACATTAATGGTCCACCACTATCACCCTATTAAAAAAGTCCCAAAATACTGTTAGTTGCTTCTGGTAGTCTTTAAACAACAGTAAAGCTGGAATAAATTAATCACATTAATCATACATTTATATAAATACACATTTTTAATATACCTTCAAGTTCTAAAGATCCATAGATTTTCATTTTTATATTCCAACTCAGACAGAAGGCATTCCATCTGGCCCGATATTTAGAGGAAGCCATAAAGCTGGTGAATAAACTTCCTATCTGCATTGTTTTGAACCAGAATTGTATAAATCATATTGTTTGGATTTTTTAGTACAATTATTCAGGAGACATGTAATTTAGGAAATAGTGTGCAAAATACTATAAATACCAATAGAATACTTCTGTCGCTTAATGCTGTATGTGAAAAGTGTAACTTTAAGATGGATAAAGGATTCTTTAAGGTGTGTGTGCATGGTTTGCTAACTAGAGGAGAGGAGTAAACTGGCATCCCGAAAGAGGTGGCATCTAAGTGTTAATGTTGGCTGGTGCAGGGTAACAGGAATAAATAGCTAAGGCTCTCAGTTCTATTACAAATCACAGATGTCTGTCCTGGTTTCTGCAAGACTGTCAATGCACCAAAGCACTATTACTAAAGAAATCACTGAAAACAACAAGGACATTGAGATAATGCTTTCAGAACCTAAAGACTAAGGACTGTATTTCCAAGGTGTTTTCAGTTTCTCTATGTAAGGTTGGCACTGAATAGTTATTTTTTGATAATGAGGATGTTTTGCTTATGAATGCAATTCAATTAGATTAGATTCTCTACTGTTTTACTCAGCAAAATTTTTAAGGAAAAGGACACTGGAAAGATAAACCCTGGATTACAGAAACCAGAATGAGTAGAACAACGTTAGAGTATGGGGTACTGCTCGGGAGTGAAGTGCTGATATATTTAGAAGTAGTGAAGAAAAGAGAAAAAAGATTCAAACAGCACAAGAGATGAAACCAAAAAAAAAAAAAAAAAAGATAAATTGACTTCATAAAAATTAAGAAAAAACAAACTTCTATGCTACAAATGGTAACATTAGGGAAATGAAGAGAGAGACCACAGAAGGGAGAGAATATTTGCTAACCATATATCTGGTAAGGGACTGGTATCTAGAATATATAAAAAAGGCTTATGGCTCAATAATAAAAAGATAAATAACTCAATTTAAAAATGGGCAAAGGATCTGAATAGACATTTATCCAAAGAAGATCTACAAATGGCTGGCCAATAATTACATGAAAAAATGCTCCACATCATTAGTCACCAGACACAAATTAAAACCACAATGAAATACCACTTCATACACACAAGGATGGCTGTGATCAAAAAGACAACAAGTGCAGGCAAGGATGTGGAGAAATTGGAGCCTTCATATTGCTGGTGGGAATGTAAAATAGTGCAGCCACTCTGGAATAGAGTTTGGCAGTTCTTCAAAATGTTAAACATTGACCTAGCAATTCCAGTCCTAGGTGGAATTTCTAAGAGAAAGAAAAACCTACCTACACATAAAAAATGTATACTCAAATGTGTATAGCAACATTATTCATAATAGTCAAAAAGCGGAAATAGCTCAAATATCCATCAACTAATGAATGGATAAAATGAGGCACATCCATACAATGGAATATTATTCCGCGATAAAATGAATAAAGTATTAATACATGCTACAATATGGATGAACCTTGGAAACATTATATTAAGTGAAAGGAGCCAGTCACAAAAGATTACATACTGAATGATTCTATTCATATGAAATTTCCAGAATAGTCAAATATATAGGGTTTAGTGTTTGCTTAGGTCTAGGGGCAGGTGGGAGGAGAATGAGGAGTGATTTGTAATGGGTCGAGGCTTCTTTTTGGGTTGACAGAAGTATTCCAAAATTAGATTACGATAATGGTTGCACTGCTCTGTAAATATACTAAAAACGCATTGAGTTGTATACCCTAAATAAGGGTGAATTGCTTATATGTAAATTATACCTCAATAGAGGTAGTAATAAAAAAAGAAAAATCCAAGGCAAATTTTGTCTAAATTTGACCAGGAAAGCAAGAGGATTTGGATTGTCGGACTGTAGTTAAAAAGGAGAAAAAAGAGTGCAATACTTATAAACTTAATAATTAAGACTTCACCAGAAAGTGATCAAAGACCTTGTTGAAGTTTCCTTCTAGCTTTAGAAAATATTTCAAAAGAAAATTATTTGGTCTTACCCTGCAAGTATCAAAAATCCCATCTTCATCACCTGCACAAAATGAAGTGTTAGGAATAATTTTCCCATAACTCTGCTCAGAATCGCAAATCTTTCGAGAGATATAATGCACTTCTGCTTCCTGTAACATATCTGTAACATTACCTGTTAACAACAACAACAACAAAAATACCAGTAAATGATTTCGAAGAGCAGGCATTTTGACAGTAATATAAAATGTTCGTGTTAAAAGGTTTTCTTTCCCAAGTGGCTCAACAGTTACGTAAAACTGTATCCATATACACATGTATATGCCTAGGAAGACTGTGGAAGAATGGTCGCCAAATGTTAATGACCACTATCTCTAGATAGTTGGAATTTCAGGTTATTTTTGTTATCTTTCTTTCCTCTGTTTCTTGAAGTTCTCTCAAAAGATCTATACTTCTTTTTTTAAGGTTTATTTATTTACTTGGAGGAGGGGAGGGGCAGAGGGAGAGGGAGAGAGAGTCTCAAGCACACGCTCTGCTGAGTGCAGAGCCCCTGTGGGGCTCATTCTCACAGCCCTGTGATCACAACCCCAGTGGAAACCAAGAGTAGGACGCCCAACCAACTGTACCACCCAGGCGCCCCAAGCATCTACACTTTTTACAAAATAAAGCTAAATAAAAATTGTCAAGGGCCAAGGAGGTAAATGCTGAGATCAATCTTAGGTTCTAAGTTGTGAATAATTTTTTATTAAATTTTCTAAGAACGCTAAGTTTTGAAGGATGGTCTACATGAAAATAAAACAGATTTTTAATTCATATACTCCCTTCACTTCTCTGCTAATTCCTGAACATAAGTGGTTCTTTGCTACTGAAGAGAGAGGAAAATACAGGGCAACACTTCAGGAACTATTGGACAAATTGTAAGATTTATCCATAGAAAAGCTTCTGTAATAGCAGCATCTGATCTTATCAGCCTCAGAGTTGCAGTCGCCACATGTGGTAGCTGAGAATTTTGTGTGCCCTGCATCCTTCCCCATTGTCCCCTTGGCTGTAGGTGGGCGGATGACCTAACTGTTCCATTCCTAGAATTCCATTCTCCTAGAATACTGATTGGTCTGGGAGTATGTATTGTATTGTATTGTATGAAGTGTAAGTCTAGCCAATTGGAATACTTCTGTAGCACCATTTTCACTGGAACTGCCAGAGGAAAACCTTGTTCACTGTAGTCACATGACTGCTTAGTTTTAAGTTCAAAGCAGCTGCAGCCAAATTTGAACTTTATGATGACAGGCAGCCTGAGAAAATAGTCCAAATGCAGAAAGAATAGGCACAGGAAATAGAAATGAAGTATGTCCTAATGACGTTCAGATACCTAGATAGAGGCTTCTTAGAGGCCAGCCACATTTCTGTGCTTTATTTAAAAATAATTAAAGTAATACTGGCAGCATATAAAAGAATATTTGTAACATATAAGTTATAGAATATAATAATGAAATGAACACCTGTGAACCTACCACCCAATTTATGAGTCTAAACAATAGTAATACCAGTATGGTATTGGTGCAAGACTATTAAAAATAACTAGAGATTTTCAAAGTGAGTAAGACAGAGAGCTGAGAAATAGATGTCTGGTTTTCTATTCTGTTCGCCTGGTCACTTAGATTATCCTTGCACAAATAGACTAATTACTATAGCTTTAAAATAATGATTTCTGGATGGCAACTCCTCTAACATTTTTCTTCTGGAGGAGTCTTGGCTATTCTTGGGTCTTTTAGAATGAGCTTTTTAACTATCTCAAAACTCATGTTAGGGCTTAGCATTCCCTATTTTTGTTTTTGTTCTGTTTTGTTTTCAGTTTTTTCAGATAGAATTGACATCTTTATGACACTGAGTTGTCCTATTCAAGCATAAAGTATACCATTCCATTTACTTAGGTATTCTTTAATGTCTTAAAAATGTTTTAGGATCTCTTCCGTAAAAGCCCTGCAATCTTTTGTTAGATGTGTGTTTTTTTTTTAAATATTTTATTTATTCAGTTGACACCACAAGCAGGGGGAGCAGCAGGCAGAGAGAGAGGAAGAAGCAGGCTCCCCACTGAGCAAGGAGCCTGATGTGGGGCTCGATCCCAGGATCCTGGGATCATGACCTGAGCTGAAGGCAGATGCTTAACTGACTGAGCCACCCAGGTGCCCCTGTTAGATGTGTTTTTTGCTACCTAATCAGTTTGGTATTATTGTAAATGTTAACTTCTGTTAACTTTCTTCTCCAGCATTTTGTTATGAAAAATTTCAAACATAAGGCAAAGATGAAAGAATTTCTCAGTAAACAACCATGTGCCCACCTCCTATAGATTCTTTAGTATTTTTGTTTCATCTGTTTACTGTTTTTTAAAAAGATTTATTTATTCATTCATTCATTCATTCATTCATTCATTCATTTTAGAGGGGGCAGGGGGAGAGACAGAGGGAGAGGGAGAGAGAGAACCTCAAGCAGATTCCCTGCTGAGCATGGAGCCTGATCTGGGGCTCAGTCTCATGACTGTGAGATCATAACCTGAGCCAAAATCAAGAGTCGGACGCTTAACTGACTGAGCCATCCAGGTGCCCCTGTTAACTTTTTTTTAAATTTTATAATTATTTTGGCAACTTTTTATTTAGATAAAATTTCAAAATTATAGAGAAGTAGCAGGAATAGTACAAGGAACTGTAATATACCTCTTACTCAGATTCAACAGTTGTTGACTTTTTGTCACATTTGCATTATCATTTGTACTCTGTGTGTGTGTATATAAATTTTTCTGAATCATTTGAGAGTGAATGGCAGACACTGTATTCCTATATAAATACTTTAGTGTATATTTCTTTTTTTTTTAAGATTTTATTTATATATTGACAGAGAGAGAGACAGTGAGAGAGGGAACACAAGCAGGGGGAGTGGGAGAGGGAGAAGCAGGCTTCCCGCTGAGCAGGGAGCCCGATGCGGGGCTCCATCCCAGGACTCCGGGACCACGACCTGAGCTGAAGGCAGACACTTAACGACTGAGCCATCCAGGCACCCCATAGTGTATATTTCTTAAGAACAGGGACATTTTCTTACATAACCACAGTACATTTATCAAGATCAGAAAATTTAACACTGGTACAATACTATTAACCAATTCATGTTTAATCTCCAAGTATTATTGGATTTTCCAGTTATTGGTTATTAGTTTATAGTTTATTGGTTTCTGTTATTGGCTTATAGTTTAATTTCATTGTTTATAGTTTAAGTCCTTTAAATTACTTTCTGTCTCTATGATTTGCCCATTCTGGACATTTCATCATATAAATGGGATCATGCAATAATGTGGGCTGTTAGGTAGAGCTTATTTCCCTTAGCATAATGTTGTAGCATGTATTAGTGCTTCATTCCTTTTAATGGCTAGATAAAATTCCATTGTATGAATATACCACGTTTTGTTTATCCATTTATCAGTTGATGGATCTTTAGTTTTTTGTTTTTGCTATTTTGAATAACACCGCTATGAGCATTTGAGTACAGGTTTTTGTGTGGACGTGTGTTTTCATTTCTCTTGGGTATATACCTAGGAGTGGAATTTCTGAGTCATATGGTAACTATAGATTTAATTTTTGAGGAACTAACAAACTGTATTCCAAAACACCCATGCCATTTTATATTCCCACCAGCAATGCATAAGGGTTCCAGTTTCTCCACATCCTTGTCAACACTTGTTCCTAACTTTTGATTATAGACATCCTTGTGGGTGTGACATCTGTTAACTTGGAAAGTTACATTTCCTAACCATTGATAGTGTATAAAAATGAAATAGATTTTGGTATTTTGGTTTTATATCTGGACATTTTACTAGACTCTCTTAATTCCAATGTATTATAGATTCTTTTTTTTTTTTATAGATTCTTTATTGTAAATAGTCACATCACCTGTGAATAATGACTGTTTTGTTATTACCTAAGTCATATGTGTTTTTGCATCTTTTTCTAGTGTTACTGCACTAGAATTTAGTGCCAAGAATGTTTGGAGAGCGTATTGAGGCATTCTATAGCACTCTCATTTTGGGGATTTTTCTGTCAAGTTTCTGACTGTCTTATCTAGGACTATAATCCCAGGCCAGTAGAGCTGTGGATTTTCCCCATTTGTCTCTTGCTGCTGAGTCCAATACTTTTACTGACAACTGCTAGCCTGGATTTTCAGCTGCTTTTCCAAATAGAGTTCACCTCCTCTGGCAACAAGGTTCTGTTCTTCACGGCCTTGCTAAAAGTACTGTACTGACTGATCTGAGAGAGGAGTTGGGAGCCCCTACAAGCAAGGAAGCTGCAGATTCTTCATTTTACCCAAATTTCTAGCTTTTTATGATAAATATTCCTCAATTTGTTGTGTACTTTGGCTGATTCCAGGGACCCTAAAATGATCGTTTTTGACAACTTTGTCAGTTTATATTTACTGGGGGAGAGGATTTGCCAGCCTCCCCATGGGCCGTCACAGCCAAAATGCCCATCCCTTTTGTAAATCAAGCATAATCAGGGGCACCTGGGTGGCTCAGTTGGTTAAGCGACTGCCTTCGGCTCAGGTCAGGATCCTGGAGTCCTGGGATCGAGTCCCGCATCGGGCTCCCTGCTCAGCGGGGAGTCTGCTTCTCCCTCTGACCCTCCTCCCTCTCGTGCTCTCTGTCTTTCATTCTCTCTCTCTCAAATAAATAAAATAAAATCTTAAAAAAAAAAAAGAAATCAAGCATAATCAGAGTTCACAGTTTGTACATTACCTATCTTTGAATTTGGAGTTTTGCTTTATGGCCTCTAATAAGTGGTCAGTTTTTTTTTTTTTAAGATTTATTTATTTGAGAGAGAGCGTGTGCTGTGCAAGTGGGGGGAGGAGCAGAGGGAGAGAGTCTCCAGCAGACTCTCCGCTGAGTGCGGAGGTTAACGCCTTGATCTCATAACCCATGGGATTATGACCTGAGCCGAAAACCAGGAGTTGGACGCTTAACCAACTGAGCCACCCAGGTGCCCCAAGTGGTCAATTTTTATAAAGATTCCACCTGCACTTGAAAAGATAAAAGCCTCTAAATTTTTGAGTGTACTGATTTGGCTATTAAATCGAGCTGGCTAATTACATTGTTCAAATATTCCAAATCTTTACTAAGTTTTTATCCATTTGATA